TGGTGACTCATACGGACCCACCTGGCCATGGTGACTCACATAGACCCACCCGGCCGTGGTGACTCACACGGACCCACCTGGCCATGGTAACTCACATAGACCCACCCGGCTATGGTAACTCACACCAGGGATGGAGACGAAGCCAAGCCTCCGGCTCCGAAGCCGAAGTCACTAGAATGTCCCGAGCCAGACATGTCCAAAAATCACGGCTTCCAGAAGCCGAAGCCGGCTTTCGCCTCATAAAACATAAGCACACACAAAGAGCACCCTTACTAAGTTTAACAGAACAATAACTATGTACTGTAGTCTACGAATATATTGTAAGTGATACGGAGATGAACGATCTTCCTTCGTGGTGATCATCGACACAAAAGCGACACTTAAGTTACTATATATGTGATCTTGGGGGCGATGGTAGGGGTGATGGCAGCATGTTCGTATAGAGTAACTCAAGTAGTTAGAAATGCCAGACGTAGCTATAATACAAATAAGCTCCAGTCAGCATCAAGCGACGGTAAGAAAACCTGGAATGTCACAAATACTATTCAGAACAGGAACACTCAGCCTTTGGCCCCCCACTCAGCTTTTATGACAAATGATTCAGTTGTAACGGAACCCTCCCCCATTGCCAACCACTTCAATGAATATTTCATTAATGTTAGCAAAAATCTTGCAGAGAGCATCCCTAAACACCACGAGAAATTTAGAGCCTACCTGCAAAACAGACAGCAAAATGAGCTGTTCTTATCCCCTGTCTCAGCAGATGAATTACTGGCTATCATAAAAATGTCCAAAGATGCAGCAGCAGGCGAAGACAATATACCAATGAGCATCATTAAGAAAGTAGCCCACTTATTACTACCTGTTCTCCTACACATTTGTAACTCCTCCTTCACTAGTGGTGTCTTTCTGGATAAACTGAAAATTGCTAAAGTTCACCCAGCATATAAAAAATCTGGGGACAAAGGTCTCTTCAAGAATTACCGCCCATATCAGTCCTCCCAGCTAGCATGTAGTAGACTAAATTCCTTCTGCAATGCCAATAACATCTTTACAGACTCCCAGTTTGGCTTTAGAGCTAGAAGGTCGACTGAGAGTGCTCTGCTATCCTTTACTAATGACATCTTAAATTCCTTTGATGACAGTCAATTCACAGTCGGAATATTCTTGGACCTCTCTAAAGCCTTCGATACTGTCGACCATACCATCCTCCCTTCAAAGCTTAAATATTACGGCGTTAGGGGCCTGTCCCACAATTGGTTTACCTCATATCTGTCCAACAGGATGCAGTATGTCTGCTAAAATAATCACCAATCTGACTCCTCGCCAATCTTGTATGGCGTTCCCCAAGGTTCCTCCATTCTCGGTCCAGTACTGTTTTTGTTGTACGTAAACGACATAGTTCACGCCAGCACACTCATAAAATGCAACTTATTTGCAGACGATAGTAATCTCTATGCCAGCATCTCAGACATCCATTCCTTGATGAGAACTATGAACACCTACTATATTTACAATACAAGTACCTGCTTTTATTGTACCATCAAAACCGTTTTATCGGACATTATCATGTAAATAGATAAGAAATTACCATTGCAATAAACATAATTGCCAACTAGACAATCCTGACAGCTCTGTCCTCTTGTTCAACCTTATTACTGTACAACCCATGTGGTACTGGTTCCCCATTATACTTATGTTTTTCAATTTCACTAATTTATGTATATATAAAAAAAAAAAAAAAATAATATATAAATAAAATAAATAAATAATGAAGTGATAACCGTGGTAACATTCTGAGATGTTCTTATTACCACCATGCTATTGTACTATTCCAGATGATACTAAATGTTACATAATACTTCCTTGAGATAAATGTATAGTATATATCAGGTGCCTAAAAGAGAGCTCAGGTTCTCAACTGGCTCAGCCATGTTAATATTGTTATTATTATCCACTCTGTGTCTGTGTTTTTCTGGCTAAATACACGGTTTCAATTAAATTAAATTCAATTCAATACAACGTGAGGACACAGGGTGGGTGCTCGGTGCATGCGACAGTTGGCCCTCTGCCATAGCGTCATCAGGGACACAAGTTTGTTCTGTTTCCCCCCGTGGCACCCGCCAGCTCTCTCTGGGAAACATAAACACAAGAGAGGCTATATTACGCACTAAATAATATGTCATTTGCAGGCGCCAAAAACACATGTTAACGCGTGCCAAAACTGTGCCGTCTGCTGTCAACCTCTGAGTAAACAAACCTGCCGACCAGCCGGGGTCGATAACCCAGGACTCACCCTACCCTCTTCCTTTCCTGATGAATAGTCATGTGTTCGCTTACATAGCTACCGCAGCCAGGCGACCACTGCCAAGGGCGGGTCAGCTGCACTGTATTTCTTGCCAAGGAAACTGAGCAGTGTGTAATGGAGAAATGTTGGGTTGCGTCACACTTAGCACATGAACTCGTTCAGGATCATGCTGCAATGTTCCCACATGGACTGTGTGAACGCGGTTGATAGAAACAGAGCACAATACGACAGAGAGACAGTCAGGCTGCTTTACTTTACCAAGACATAAAACGAGATAAATGCAAGATTATGTGCTACGTAAATGACTAAACACCATCAGTTTGCATGCACATCAGTGAGCAGGTCTCGTGCAGTGCCAGGCTTCTGAAGAAAGAACTACGAGAAGAAAGTGTGCGGTCATTCAACAAAGACCAACTTTGGGGTCAGGGGTCAGCCTTAGTCGAAAACGCATACTGCACGAGTGAACGCCGCCTCCCTTCTTACACTCGGGCTGAATCTATCATCAATTACTTCGTGGTTCCTATCCTCTATGACGTGGCTGAGTTGTTCCCTATTCTCTGTGACGTGGCTGAGTTGTTCCCTATCCTCTGTGACGTGGCTGAGTTGTTCCCTATTCTCTGTGACGTGGCTGAGTTGTTCCCTATCCTCTGTGACGTGGCTGAGTTGTTCCCTATTCTCTGTGACGTGGCTGAGTTGTTCCCAATCCTCAGTGTCAAGAGCTATTCTCTATCCTCAGTGACTTACCTAGAGCTGCTACCTATCCTTAGTTGTTTGACAAGAGCGATTCCATATCGTCAGTGAAATGGCTGATTGGCTGGGTTGTTTCCTATCCTCGGTTTCAAGAGTTGTTTCCTATTCTTAGTGGTGGCTTGGGTAGAGCGCTTTCCTATCTTCAGTGACTTGACAAGAGCTGTTTTCTACCCTTTGTGACTTGGCAACACTGTGTTAGTCTAAAAACCCTTTTCTGGTAGCACTGAGTCAGACACTGGCCAAGGGCGACTGGGTATTTTTTTCCCCAGGCTGAAGGATGACGCACTAGCCCACACCTGGCCCGGACGAACACCCGGCTATATGTGAAAGTGAAACGAATACTCAAGGCAATAGGCACTTAACCCTTAATTATCGGAATAAAAGTAGCGACGAAAAGTATTGGTTCATTGATGGGTAATGAGCTGTCACTGTTTGTCCTAGTAATTCACCAGGTGAGTGTATGGTGAACGTGTTGACCAGGTGAGTGTGTGTGATGGAAGCGTTGACCAGGTAAGTGTGTGTGGTGGACACGTTGACCAGGTGAGTGTGTGGTGGACACGTTGACCCGGTGAGGGTGTGGGGGACGCATTGACCAGGTGAGTGTGTGGTGGACGTGTTGACTAGGTGAGTGTGTGGTGGTCGTGTTGACCAGGTGAGTGTGTGGTGGACGTGTTGACCAGGTGAGTGTGTGGTGGTCGTGTTGACCAGGTGAGTGTGTGGTGGTCGTTGACCAGGTGAGTGTGTGGTGGACGTGTTGACCAGGTGAGTGTATGGTGAACGTGTTGACCAGGTGAGTGTGTGTGATGGAAGCGTTGACCAGGTAAGTGTGTGTGGTGGACACGTTGACCAGGTGAGTGTGTGGTGGACACGTTGACCCGGTGAGGGTGTGGGGGACGCATTGACCAGGTGAGTGTGTGGTGGACGTGTTGACTAGGTGAGTGTGTGGTGAACGTGTTGACTAGGTGAGTGTGTGGTGGACGTGTTGACCAAGTAGTTCCCTTTACTAAACATGTGAGTTTATTCCTTGAGTCTCTTTACCTCTTTCCCTAAATTGACAGACAAGCGCAATGTTAGTGTACAATATATGTGCGTGCGAGTGAGTGAGTGTGTGTGTGTGTGTGTGTGTGTGCGTGCGTGCGTGCGCGAGTGTGTGTGTGCGCGAGTGTGTGTGTGTGTGTGTGTGTGTGACGAAGTTCAGCCTATTAAAACCTACTAAAGCGACTGATCTCGATTTTATATATTCAGACTTTGTGTTTTACTACAAGAATCGTGACATCAAATATAAGGGTTCACTTAATTAAGGGGTCATGTCAGAGGTTCAGAATTGGAATGACATTGATTTATAGGTTCCGTGACTACAAACGTCTTCCTTGTTTACATACACAAGTTCCAAACACATTAATGTGAACCTCTGATCGGAATAGTGAGAATAAAGGCCAAGGGGTTAGTTTTTTTGCAATAGAAAACGTGTGGGGAATAACTCGTGTTGTCTTGCAGTGCTGGGAGAAAAACTTTGATTATAAATGTAGATTGTAACCCAAATATAACTTTAAGCTGTCCCACATACTTATAAGATGTTGATTATAGTGACTGTAACAATAATATCATTGTCTGCCACACACACACACACACACACACACATCCACTTGCAGGTCACCAGTCATGCTTAAATCACAGTTATAGGCCAAGTATAATTTGTGGTTGTTTGTTAACTGCGCGGATAGAGAAGTACAAAGTTCATAATATAAGAGTCTACACACTTTTCATAAATGCACGGATAAAAATTACACTGGAGCTTATATTACACTACAAATTAATAAAAAAGAGACAGTACACGATACAATGGATACAGTAGATAGGATAGAGTACAAAGGACATACACAAGACGCATAAGTAAGGCACTAGTGACCAAGGTTGGCGTGGTGTGTCAGTCAGTACTCACCCTGACAGGCGTGGGCAGCGTGGCATGGCGGATTCGTCTGCGCCGGAGCCGGAGCTCTCTGCGAGTGTCGTGGCGGTGATGGTCGTGGCCATGGTCGTTCTGACGTTTGAGTACACTCCTCCGACGGGCGTCAGCCTGCGGGACCATCACCATCAGCACCAGCAACAACAGCAGGAAACCGCGAATCAGCAACATGTTAGCACCAACAACGGCAAGCTTCCCAAGGCTCCTGTCCTCTCACGCGTCCTTCCTCACACCTCTCTTGGTAGTTTCCCTCATCAGCAGGCAACATACATCATGTGGAAAACCCGCATCGAAGTGGAGAGAATGTATGGATGAATTACTGTTACTGCCTCCACACACTCACACCGGCACTCCCCCCAACACAACTTAACCAAACGTTTGAGGAATATTGAAAAGGCGATAAAGTTTTATCCAACAAATGTTGAAATGATAGTTAGCGTCACAGAATCTACACCAGGACACGTCGAAATATCATCACTTTGAATTATGTTAGTTGACGAGAACAAGCGAAGTGAAGAAGTAGGTGTTGGACACGTGGCGAGTGATAAACGGTATGGTGAGGCAGCGAGGCACCCGTACTACGCGGTGTCTAGCAGCAGACTGGACGATATTGACACTGGGAACCCTTGCGGCAGCCCCCTAGTGGTGGTGACTCACACTGGCCGCAATATTGTGCACCTCGGTAATACCCACCACTGTTGTACACCCCAGTAGTACCTACCACTGTTGTACACCCCAGTACTACCTACCACTGCTGTACACCCCAGTAGTACCTACCACTGTTGTACACCACAGCAGTACCTACCACTGTTGTACACCTCAGTAGTACCTACCACTGTTGTACACCCCAGTAGTACCTACCACTGTTGTACACGCCATTAGTAACTACCACTGTTGTACACCCCAGTAGTACCTACCACTGTTGTACACCCCAGTAGTACCTACCACTGTTGTACACCCCAGTAGTACCTACCACTGTACTACCCTGCTCTACGCCTCCAGTAGTACCCTACCACTGTTAGCCACACTTTAATAGTACTTACCACTGTTGTACACTCAGTGGTACCTACCCACTGTGCTGCACCCCAGTAGTACCCTACCCAACCTTGTACGCCTCAGTAGTACCTACCAATGTTGTGCACCCTAATACTACCTACCACTGTTGTACACCCCAGTAGTATCTACCACTGTTGTACACCCCAGTGAACCTACACTGTATGCCACCACAGTAGTACCCACCACTGTTGTACACATCAGTAGGTATTCCACCACTGTTGTTACACCCCAGTAGTACCTACCAATGTTGACACACCACAGTAGTACCCTACACCACTGTTGTACACCCCAGTAGTGCCTACCGCATTTGTGCACCCCCAGTAGAACCTGTTATGCACCCCAGTGGTACCTACCACTGTTGTACACCCCAGTAGTACCTACCACTGTTGTACACCCCAGTAGTACCTACCACTGTTGTACACCCCAGTAGTACCTACCACTGTTGTACACCCCAGTAGTACCTACCACTGTTGTACACCACAGTAGTACCTACCACTGTTGTACACCCCAGTAGTACCTACCACTGTTGTACACCACAGTAGTACCTACCACTGTTGTACACCCCAGTAGTACCTACCACTGTTGTACACCCCAGTAGTACCTACCACTGTTGTACACCCCAGTAGTACCTACCACTGTTGTACACCCCAGTAGTACCTACCACTGTTGTACACCCTAGTAGTACCTACCACTGTTGTACACCTCAGTAGTACCTACCACTGTTGTACACCACAGTAGTACCCACCACTGTTGTACACATCAGTAGTACCTACCACTGTTGTACACCCCAGTAGTACCTACCACTGTTGTACACCCCAGTAGTACCTACCACTGTTGTACACCCCAGTAGTACCTACCACTGTTGTACACCACAGTAGAACCTACAACTGTTGTACACCACAGTAGTACCCACCACTGTTGTACACATCAGTAGTGTCCACCACTGTTGTACACCCCAGTAGTACCTACCACTGTTGTACACCCCAGTAGTACCTACCACTGTTGTACACCACAGTAGTACCCACCACTGTTGTACACATCAATGTCCTACTGTTGTACCCAGTAGTACCTACCACTGTTGTACACCACAGTAGTACCTACTGCTGTTGTACACTCAGTAGTTCCCTACCACTGTTGTACTGATGGTACCTACCACTGTTGTACACCACAGTAGTACCCACCACTGTTGTACACATCAGTAGTGTCCACCACTGTTGTACACCCCAGTAGTACCTACCACTGTTGTACACCCCAGTAGTACCTACCACTGTTGTACACCCCAGTAGTACCTACCACTGTTGTACACCACAGTAGTACCCACCACTGTTGTACACATCAGTAGTGTCCACCACTGTTGTACACCCCAGTAGTACCTACCACTGTTGTACACCTCAGTAGTACCTATCACTGTTGTACACCCTAGTAGTACCCACCACTGTTGTACACCCCAGTAGTACCTACCACTGTTGTACACCCCAGTAGTACCTACCACTGTTGTACACCACAGTAGTACCCACCACTGTTGTACACCTCAGTAGTACCTACCACTGTTGTACACCCCAGTAGTACCTACCACTGTTGTACACCCCAGTAGTACCTACCACTGTTGTACACCCTAGTAGTACCTACCACTGTTGTACACCTCAGTAGTACCTACCACTGTTGTACACCCCAGTAGTACCTACCACTGTTGTACACCTCAGTAGTACCTATCACTGTTGTACACCTCAGTAGTACCTACCACTGTTGTACACCCCAGTAGTACCTACCACTGTTGTACACCCCAGTAGTACCTATCACTGTTGTACACCCCAGTAGTACCTACCACTGTCGTACACCTCAGTAGTACCCACCACTGTTGTACACCTCAGTAGTACCTATCACTGTTGTACACCTCAGTAGTGCGAACCACTGTTGTACACATCCAGTAGTCATCACCACTGTTGCCACACCCCAATGGTACCTACCACTGTTGTGTACACCCCCAATGGTACCTACCACTGTTGTACACCCCAGTAGTACCCTACCACTGTTTGTGCACCCCAGTGTTCACCACTGTTGGCACCCCAGTAGTGCACCCTACCACTGTTGTACACCCCAGTGAGTACCCACCATGTTGTACACCCCAGTGGTACCTACCCTGTTGTAAACCCCAGTGGTACCTGCCACTGTTGCTGATAGTACCCACCACTGTTGACACACATCAGTAGTGTCCACCACTGTTGTACACCCCAGTGGTACCTACCACTGCTGTACATAGTAGTGCCTACCACTGTTGTAAGCCCCAGTGGTACCTACCACTGTTGTGCACCCCAGTAGTACTCCACCACTGTTGTACACATCAGTAGTGTCCACCACTGTTGTACACCCCCAGTAGTACCTACCACTGTTATAAACCCCAATAGTACCTACCACTGTTGTACACCCCAGTAGTACCTACCACTGTTGTACACCCCAGTAGTACCTACCACTGCTGTACACCTCAGTAGTACCTACCACTGTTGTACACCCCAGTAGTACCTACCACTGTTGTACACCTCAGTAGTACCCACCACTGTTGTACACCCAAGTAGTACCTACCACTGTTGTACACCTCAGTAGTACCTATCACTGTTGTACACCTCAGTAGTACCCACCACTGTTGTACACATCAGTAGTGTCCACCACTGTTGTACACCCCAGTAGTACCTACCACTGCTGTACAACCTCAGTAGTACCTACCACTGTTGTGCACCGCAGTAGTACCTACCACTGTTGTAAACCCCAGTAGTACCTACCACTGTTGTACACCCCAGTAGTACCTACCACTGTTGTACACCCCAGTGAGTACCTACCACTGCTGTACACCTCAGTGGTACCTACCACTGTTATTTTACCCCAGTGGTACCTACCACTGTTACACCCAGTGAGTACCCACCACTGTTGTACACCCCAGTGGTACCCTGTACTGTTGTACACCCCGGTGAGTACCCACCACTGTTGTACACCCCGGTAGGTACCTATCCTTGTACACTGATGAAACTACCACTGTTGTACACCCCAGTAGTACCTACCACTGCTGTACACCTCAGCAGTACCTACTATTGTACACCCCAGTGAGTGCCTACCACTGTTGTACACCCCAGTGAGTACCTACCACTGTTGTACACCCCAGTAGTACCTACCACTGTTGTACACCCCAGTGGTACCCACCACTGTTGTACACCCCAGTAGTACCTACCACTGTTGTGCACCTCCAAGTAATTCACCACTGTTGTACACCCCAGTAGTACCTACCACTGTTGTACACCTGGTAGTGCCTACACACTGTTGTACACCCCAGTGAGGTACCTATCACTGTTGTACCACCCCAGTAATTTCTACTGTTGTACACCCCAGTGAGTACTACCACTGTTGTATACCCCAGTGAGTACCTACCACTGTTGTACACCTCAGTGAGTACCTACCACTGTTGTACACCCCAGTAGGTACCCACACCACTGCGTTGTACACCCCAGTAGTACCCACCACTGTTGTACCCCAGTAGTACCTACACTGTTGTGTACACCCCAGTGATACCTACCACTGTTGTACACCCAGTGAGTACCTACCACTGTTGTACACCTCAGTGGTACCTACCACTGTTGTACACCCCAGTAGTACCCACCACTGTTGTACGCGAGTGGTACCCACCACTGTTGTACACCCCAGTGAGTGCCTACCGCTGTTGTGTACACCCCAGTGGTACTACCACTGTTGTACACCCCGGTGGTGCCTATCGCTGTTGTACCCCCAGTGGTACCTACCACTGTTAGACACTATTGGTACTACCACTGTTGTGCACCTCAGTAGTACCTATCACTGTTGTACCTCAATTATGCCTACCACTGTTGTACCACCCCAGTGAGTACCTACCACTGTTGTACACCCCAGTAGTACCTATCACTGTTGTACACCCCAGTGAGTACTACCACTGTAGTACACCTCAGTAGTGCCCACCACTGTTGTACCTCATTAGTACCTATCACTGTTGTACACCTCAGTAGTGCAGACCACTGTTGTACACATCAGTAGTGTCCACACCACTGTTGTACACCCCAGTAGTGCCACTACCACTGTTGTACACCCCAGTGAGTACCTACCACTGTTGTACACCCACAGTGGTACCTACCACTGTTGTACACCCAGTAGTACCTACCACTGTTGTACACCCCAGTGGTACCTACCACTGTTGTACACCCAGTAATTGCCCACCACTGTTGTACACCCCAGTAGTACCTACCACTGTTGTAAACCCAGTACCTACCACTGTTGTACACCCCAGTGAGTACCCACCACTGTTGTACACATCAGTAGTGTCCACCACTGTTGTACACCCCAGTAGTACCACTACCACTGCTGTACACCTCAGTAGTACCTACCACTTATTTGTAAACCCCAGTAGTGCCTACCACTGTTGTACCCAGTGATGGTACCCACCGCTGTTGTACACATCGGTGGTGTCCACCACTTTGTTGTACACCCCAGTGGTACCTACCACTGTTGTAAAGCCCCAATGGTACTACCACTGTTGTACACCCAGTGGTACCTACCACTGTTGTACACCCAGTGGTACCTAC